TTTATAAAATACGCACACAAAACTGAACTTTAAGTTTACTTATTTGCTGGAAAACAATTTTTAAACAAGATTTTCCAAAATATTCATCTTTTCATACCCAACACCAATCTTTTTGCCGAAATCTTTGGAAAATCTGTAGGAAAAAATTGAATAGATAAAATAGAATTGTAGAAAAGTACAGAGAGTTTGATTTTTTATTTTGTAGGTATTAATTTTATTATTAAAAATTTTTTTATATCAAAACATTAAGTAATCATTCATTGCTGAAGAATTCCATACATTCCACTTCTTCTCCTTTATTTTCTTGTTTTTCATTTTCATTTTTTGATTCATCACTGGAGAATTCCATCCCTTCATTTCATATATTTTTTATATTCATTTCATTTCAGAAGACTTTGACAGGTTGACAATGAGATAGTTGCGTGGGCGTCGATAAGAGAAATCATCGTTGGTATTTTAGGCAAACATCGTTCTCCCAATTATGAAGGATCTGTGCGAAGAATGTTGGATGTTTTTTTTTCAAAATTGGAGTCAATATGTCGCTAAAAATTCATTTCCCTCATCGCCATTTGGACTACTTCAGTCGACAGTTATCGACACAATCATCAAACTGCGATGCCATTTGATTCCAGATAAAGAGGAAAACCAGCTCCAGATGCCATACTAGCTGAAACATTTTGGTGAAGTAAACATATTTTTGACTCAAAAAGAAAATGAAAATGAAGAACAAGAAAATAAAGGAGAAGAAGTGGAAGGGATGAAATTCTCCAGTGATGAATCAAAAAATGAAAATGAAGAGCAAGGAAATAAAGGAGAAGAAGTGGAAGGGATGGAATTCTTCAGCAATGAATCAGATTACTCAATGTTTTGATATAAAAAAGTTTTTTAATAATAAAATTAATACAAAATAAAAAATCAAACTCTCTGTACTTTTCTACAATTCTATTTTATCTATTCATTTTTTTCCTACAGATTTTTCGGCAAAATATTTGGTGTTGAGTGTGAAAAGATGAATATTTTGGAAAATCTTGTTCAGTTTTGTGTGCGTATTTTATAAATTACTGATTTTAGTATACTTTACAACATTTTTGCCAGAAAGTAGCTAGAGATTTTTAATATTATCAAAAAATTAAAAAAAAAATATTTTTCGAATATTTGGTCCCAAAAATTGGGTTTTTGGGATAAAGGTTGTTCACAAAATGGGTTTATTTGTGCAGTAACTACATTTCTACAAAAAATCTTGACGATATAAAACGAATATATGCGAAAAAAATCGATTTATAGGTCTAAATTGGGGTATATGAAGCTCGAAAATACAAACGGCCATAACAAAAAAACTCGAGCTAACTTTTACAAACCCAGCGACGGTTTTGCTATTGGATAGGTATATTTTCAGAAAAAAATGGTCCTGTGCGGTTTGATTTCGATGACCCGAAAATTGTCGCACAGTGTAATAAACATAACTGCTACAAAAAATTCAAAAAGCGAAAGAAACAAAGTTATAAACAAATATGGTTGATATACATCTTACGCACGCTTGATAACTATATATACCGATAGGTTACAAATATATATATATATATTAGACTGGTTCAAAAAAATCGAATATTTTTTTTTCTTCAAAGCCCGCATTGAAATATCTTCCTAGTAGTGAAAAAAGAAGCCTGTGAAAATTGTAGCTCTTAATATTAATATTTAGAGGTCGCTCATCGTGAATTTCTATTTTACGTTTAAATAACACAGGAATTCTTTTTTCTTAACTTTGAAATTTTATAACTCGTTTTTGAGTGAACATATTGGAATGAACTCTATATATTTTTGAAGAAAATTGAACCTTCTACAAAAAATGTCTCTTATAATTTTTTCGTAAATTTACTCCTTTAAGTTAAGTTATTCAAGGTTGAAATTAGACATATAAAAAATGTAACGTTTAAATAACACAGGAATTTTTTATAACTTTTTTTTTGAGTGGACATATTGGAATAATTTCAACCTTTAACTATTAAAGGAGTGAATTTACGAAAAAATTATAAGAGACATTTTTTGTAGAACGTTCAATTTTCTTCAAAAATATATAGAGTTCATTCCAATATGTTCACTCAAAAACGAGTTATAAAATTTCAAAGTTAAGAAAAAAGAATTCCTGTAAACGTAAAATAGAAATTAACGATGAAATATTAATATTAAGAGCTACAATTTTCACAGCCTTCTTTTTTTACTACTAGGAAGATATTTTAATGCGGGCTTTGAAGAAAAAAAAATATTCGATTTTTTTGAACCAGTCTAATATATATATATATATATATATATATATATATATATATGATATATATCAGTTGGAGATGTGCGTCTGTGATGACACAGCTAAACAATGATTGGAGTGGGGCTGATCTGCTAAGTAACAAGTAATGGCTAAGTTAATCGAGTAAGTTTGAGTGCAGAGGATTTCTTCAGGATCTACATAACCCAAAAACAAACAACTTCGGGCCAATGTTGGGTTTCATTATTGGACCATAGTAGAAAAAATCTGATGAAGGATATTTTGGCCCAATATCATCAAACGAATATTGGGCCAATATCTTTGTGCTACTGGGGTTTTGTAATGAAGGTAAATTCAAACAAAATTTGGAAAATTTTATGACAGAATCTGGTAAGATATCATTAATTGGTGCATTTCTTTCAAATTTTAGGTTATGTGCTCAAATTGTAAATATCTTAACTAAGGGAAGTGCTTTTGTATTTATTTACACAAATTGAATGTTTAAAGTTTAACCTGGGAACTTGTCCTAATTTCATCTAAGTAAAGAGAAAAAAACTAATTTTGTGGTTTTGGTTTAAGGGTGATGAAAATTTATTAAATATTTTTTTTATGAATTACCGATAAATTACCGTAATACTTTGGTAATTCTAGCATATTAATTATTACTGACGATGAAGAGAGGCATGAATAAGAAAAAATCGATGAATTAATGTTAGGTATCTGCCACTTTCAGTGGAATTGAGGTTAGGATTCTGTCAGTAGAATTAAGGTTATTTATATCATGCACTACGCCATCTGATCATCATGAATTTATGGTAGCACTTGAGAAGGCACCACGCGAGATCGAGAGCTCTTAAAACGTAAAAGTTTAAAGATTAAAACCAACAATAATTTTTAAAATGTGCAAACCAATTATAGTGAAACAAATAATTTTCATAGAGTTCAAACTAAAATGGTGCAACGGTCAATGAGGAGTGAAGTGTTAAGTGATGAAGGAGTTAAGTGCCACCTGTCATTGGACGCTTTTCACTGGACAAACAAAGGAGGTCAAACAAGAGGGGAGGTGGCCATCCGCAAAAAAATGATAAGTAACTTTAAGCATATGCATGACCTAACACATAATCTGCAAATTAAACACGACAGATATCTTTAAAACCCTAATAAAGGCACACTGCGTAGGACAATAAATCTGTCAACAACAAATGCATAAGGCAAACCCAAACGAGACCAATAATAAACACTAGACACACAGAATAAACTAACACATTAATCATTATAACCCTAACATAGTAAAAAAAGCATAATAACCAAACTCTACTGGATTTGTAAACATTAGATAACAGAATAATTGCGCTTGTAATTTGTTTAACTAATAAATAAATGCAATACTTAATTTTGAAATTTAAGAAAAAAGACAAAACTCTACCACAAAACGTGCTTGGGCAACACAATAACTACAAAAAACAATTGTTAGAAATTTTGCACTACTGCGGCAATAAACAATTAAAAAAAAACACCAAAAGCTACAAGTTACATATCCAGCTACTGAACTATATATTGATGGTTGTCGGCATCAAGACTGAAGACACGGGCAATGACAATAACGAACAAGACGAAGACCTCGACTAGGAAACTACACCCCTGCAGCGAAATAACAACTCCCCAACTCCAAATAGTAATCCCAAATGTTTGGAGTAATACTAATCGACTGGTCTAGGGGGATTCCGCGTCGTACTTAGTTTTAAGTCGGCGTAATTGTCCCCCAAAAACCAACAAACGTCTATCCCTCCCGTCCCTCCTCCTCTATACCCTACTGGGCGTATAGCATCGGCTCGGCGAACCCGAGAATGGCTATTAAAACTATTCGCATGTCGCTCTCGAGCCCCAAATAGGGGACAGTACGGAACGCAATGGACATTCGCACCCAGCAAACACGGGTGAAGCCGTGCAGTTGCTGGGGGCGAACAAAAATCGGCGTAAGTAAACATAGGTCTGTACGGGGTCCGGGAGTGATGAGGCAATTGTATATAAACTTTTTGTATATATATTTATAATGAATTTAATTATATCTGTGTGATAGAGCTATTTTTTATATACATATTTTGAATGCACATACAAATGCACATTGTTGCATTTCTGTGTAGATTAGCATATTTATTGTTAAACATTTTTATTTAATATTTATGTATACAGTTTTGTATTCTTTCAAACAATAAATATTATTATTATTATTATTAATTACCATTATTTTTTTTAATTTCTTTTAAAATATGTGCACGCCACTGCACGCCTACCAACACTAAACATATTTATGTATAGCCAGGGAAAAACCATGAAATCCGGGTAAGAAGTTAATATTAATTTTCAACACGTTTAAATTGAATTTGACGACCACTTAATTTATGCCACAAACCCCAAAAGGAAAAGTTAAATCTCATTAATTTCGCAAAATAATTTACGCGAGCCTTAAGAGTGAAAATAAAACCACGTGCTCTAAATTGCTCAATAATTTATTTATTTGACTAGAGTTAACACACTAAACAACTATATATATATAGTAATCGTTACAGTTATATACAGGGTGTCCAGAAATAGAGTTCGGAATTCGGAAACCTTTTTTGTAGATACACAGGGTTTTAGTTTATGGTATTTTGCTCCGAGGTTTTTGTACACAGTGTGGACAAACTGAAAAATTTTATTTCTAAATTACACCGCCATTTAAATAATATTTAACAATAAATTAGTTCTCATCTTGTAGAGCTACCACTTCCAAAGCTGGACTTCCTATGGACTCTACTTCAGAGGAATTGGATTCCGCTGATGAATTTTGTGTATTTTTTGCATTCTTCATATAGTCCACAACATACTCGAGATCCAGTAAGGTTTTAAGTTTTTTGGATCTATTAGTTTCCTCATCGTCATGATGTTTGATTTCTTCATCTTGTTTACTAGGGGTGTCCTCAAATTTGTCTAATTTGGTGCACCGAACACTACTATAGATATTATTGATGTTACCCATGATATAATTGGTGCTTACTTTGTTTGAGCTTTTATCAAACCCCATGGACTTCACATCAAACTTAGTTTGTTTGTTCTCATTTTGATTCAAGTGAGTTAGGTTCATGGGGCTCTTATTACTCGATGGTATAGGTACAGAAAACGCTGAAGAGTGTCTGGATTGCTTGAAGAAATCTTTGGACAACTTGTTCGGAGGTTCTTCCAACTTAAATGGCGATACTGACGGGCTTTTATCTTTGACCAAAGGACTTACAATGGTGGAAGGTGGGTCCTTATTTTGATTTTTTCTGTCGTAGATGTGTCCCGATACTCTTAAATCGATGAAAAAGTGTAGTGGGTCTATACCGTATGGTGGGGCGGGGTATAGGGGTGGATACCACATCGGCGGTGGTGGTGGGAGGACCAAATTTGATGGAGTTTCACTATTTGTTGCGGTATGATTGCTGAACAAATGATCCATCGATAAATCAGGTTTGTTTGGTGGATTGAAGGGTTCAACTTTTCCTGGATATAAAAGCGACTTATTTTCTTGGTCGGACCACTTAATTTATGCCACAAACCCCAAAAGGAAAAGTTAAATATCATCAATTTCGCAAAATAATTTACGCGAGCTTCAAGAGTGAAAATAAAACCACGTGCTCTAAATTGCTCAATAATTTATTTATTTGACTAGAGTTAACACACTAAACAACTATATATATATATATAGTAATCATTATAGTTATATACAGGGTGTCCAGAAATAGAGTTCGGAATTTGGAAACCTTTTTTGCAGATACACAGGGTTTTAGTTCATGGTATTTTGTACACAGTGTGGACAAACTGTAAAACTTTTATTTCTAAATTACACCGCCATTTAAATAATATTTAACAACAAATTAGTTCTCATCTTGTAGAGCTACCACTTCCAAAGCTGGACTTCCTATGGACTCCTCTTCTGAGGAATTATTGGAATTCGCCGATGAATTTTGAGTATTTTTTGTGTTGTTCATGTAGTCCACAACATACTCCAGATCCAGCAAAGTTTTAAGTTTTTTGGATCTATTAGTATCCTCATCGTCATGATGTTTGATTTCTTCATCTTGTTTACTAGGGGTGTCCTCAAATTTGTCTATTTTGGCGCACCGAACACTACTATAGATATTATTGATGTTACCCATGATATAATTGGTGCTTACTTTGTTTGAGCTTTTATCAAACCCCATGGACTTCACATCGAACTTAGTTTGTTTGTTCTCATTTTGATTCAAGTGAGTTAGGTTCATGGGGCTCTTATTACTCGATGGTATAGGTACAGAAAAGGCTGAAGAGTGTCTGGATTGCTTGAAGAAATCTTTGGACAACTTGTTCGGAGGTTCTTCCAACTTACATGGGGATACTGACGGGCTTTTATCTTTGACCAAAGGGCTTACAATGGTGGAAGGTGGGTCCTTATTTTGATTTTTTCTGTCGTAGATGTGTCCCGATACTCTTAAATCGATAAAAAAGTGTAGTGGGTCTATACCGTATGGTGGGGCGGGGTATAGGGGTGGATACCACATCGGCGGTGGTGGTGGAAGGACCAAATTTGATGGAGTTTCACTGTTTGTTGCGGTATGATTGCTGAACAAATGATCCATCGATAAATCAGGTTTGTTTGGTGGATTGAAGGGTTCAACTTTCCCTGGATATAAAAGCGACTTATTTTCTTGGTCCGACATATTATTGTCGACTTTATTTATGGTTAACTCCAGAGGGATCTCTTCTTTAGTGAAATTATTGCTTTTCAGCATCCAATCATTGTTTTCACCAGCAGGTTTTTCAGAACCTTTCGGGGAATGTTGTTTCTGGAAACATTCAGCTCTCGTGGTAGACCACGTCCTCTTTCGGGACCTTCTATGACTACTGTGTATACCGGGTGTATTCCTATTTTGTTCAGCTACTTTTGCCTGCACCAAGGATCTCAACATTTCGCTGAAGAAAAATGTATTTGGTAGGAGTGACATGTTGTATAAGTACGGTGGAGTAGCTGCTAGTAATCTTGACACCAGATCTGTGTTTCTGAAGTCCAGAGGTGACATTTTTGGCTTTGGTGGGGGGTGGAAGTGCTCATTGGTTGATGACATCTGCAACAAAGAAAAATGTGTTAAGAATATCTTTCTTTAAAGAAATTTGTTGTCAAAATCAATATAAATATATGAATCTTGAATTGTGTTGAAAATACGGATAATAACAAATTGTAATACACATTCAAACAAAATTGAAGCAAATTTAGAGCAGTTTGTAGTTGCTACATATATTTTAGTCATGTACTTGTTGCGTTTGTCACTATAATCTGGATCCAAAAAATGTTATAGTTGTGTGTACATAAATATTATATTTTAGGATTTCTACAAATTGTAGTCAAAAATGACACAATATTGTAATAATTAAAATTGTAGCAAATTAAAAGACTTTATATGTATATTACATGTAAAATGTTGCATTTTTTAATGCAACCAAATAAACTTGTTCATATAAATTGTAGCGGATAATGTAATCTAATATTATTATATATTACACATTAATAAAAAAATTTAGTAAAAATAAAGATACTTTTATGTTTAAGGTAAATAAACAATATATTTTAATATAATATACAATATAGTAACTCATGTCATTTTAAACATTCAATTTTTTTAGTTTCTTCAATAAACTTTCTTGACCCATTACTGGTAATACTTATAAGAAAGAATTGAACCTACTTGGTTGCATAGTATGTACCGATTGCGGCAAAGGCCACGTCGCGACGCGTCGTTAGACGGTGTGGATCACGTGATGTTCTTACATCTCGCCTCTGTTGGCTTACCAACCATGTTATATAAGCTCAGGTATTTCTTTGTTTTGGGTGTGTTCCACTACTACAAGTTGCTCGACAGTGTCGTGTCGACACTGATGATACCCAATATAGGTCTAAACACCTGTCTGTCAGTATTTGAAGTTGATGGAATGCACTCAAAACAAAAAACTTTGGCGAGGTGTAGGTTCAATTTTTTTTCATAACATTTTTGTGTATTAAAAAGTACAATAAATATGTTACAATTTTTAATTGTTAACATAAAAATATTCGATTTTAAAATATTTTATATTTAAAATGGCAACATAATATTTTAAAATTTACTATACTTATTAGTAATGGAAAAAATCTAATTATAATAGGAATTAAAAACAAAATTGGTTGAGAATAATAATATTATACCTTAAGCTTTAACATACATGGATATTTAAAAATTACTAAATATGCATAGTATCTGGCAATATACAAGATAGTTGTCCCAAATAGTAATATAAATTATAGTAAAGGGTATTATAATTATGGTAATCAGCATTATACTTTTCTCTCCGTGTGACGAATAAAAAAATAAATATTACACATATGGGTGTTTTGGAACGCCTTGCTCTATTTAAAAATGTACAAATATATCTGGTGTTCCATTTAAAAAATATATAATATTTCATGAACACGATGCTCCATTGTTTTGGTTCCGACAAGTTCAAATACTATACATTTTTAAGTTTCTAGTTCTAGTTTTTTAGTTTTATTAATTGTTTTATGAAAAGTAAATATATTGTGTGTGATTGGCAACTCTAAATTAAATGTTAGTAAAAATTAAGGTTGAATGGAAGTGACACCCTGTAATAAATTAGTTAAACTTAGTTTGGAAACAAGGTAGACGAACATATCTCACCCCTTGCGACTAAAATTAATATAACATTGTTAAATGGTAATTAGTCTAACTGATAATTACGTAAGACGTTTTGCGATGTCTTACTAACGTTTTCTCCATGATAAATTATACTTTTGCATGACAAATGATCTTAATACAAAACTACAAAACTTAAACGATTAAGTATTTACCGCTGAAAATTAAAATATCAAACAGTTTTCAAAGTTTTCGAGGCTTTCAAAGAAATAACTTAAATACATTTTTAGTATCCAACCGCAAAGTATTTCAAAGGAATTATGCATTAAAATTCACTGAATGAATTGGTCACAACTGTGTTTTCTTAAGAAACTCGAGCTGAAACTGAAAACTCAAAACTTTCAGCACCATAAATATTATCACTGTATTTAATGTATACTTAATTTTGCCTCTGAAGTTACTTTCAAATAACTTGGAAAACTTGGGGATATGTTTGCAATTAGTAAATTAAAAATATTTTATGTGTATACACACAAAATATTTTTAATTTACACTGTAGTGGTAAAAATATTATCTAAATGTTGTCAAATACAACACTGAAGAGGATAATTAGATTTTCTTGAACGACGTTCTGCAAATATTTCGAAGTACATATTTAAATATGGAAAACACAGAAAATTAAAGTTTTAATTCTCATGGGTGAATATATTGAGATGTCACCCAAGTGAAAATGAGAAGAAATCATACATTTTAAATATTAGAGCTTCTCGAAAGATAGCTTCACGGAGGTTAGGATTTCGTATGTGTTTTTTAAACATCCCTTTGTATATTTGAAATAAGTTATTGTATCCTTTGACACCTTAATATTTTTTAAAAATACAATTGTACAAACATAAAATATTTATAAAAAATCTACTTACTGAGATATTACACTTCACGGTGGATAGGTTTTTAAATAGCAAATTAATGAACTTAAACTTTTGAATTATAAAACAGCAACACTCTCATCTGCATATAAATTCTAACTGACCTTCAGGAATCACATGCATCTATAATGTGGTGAACAGAGGTTTTTGCTTATTTAAAATGATTAAAGCGCCATCCGTTGCATAAAATTTAAAGAAAAAACAGATTCACGGAGAATAGAATCAAGTTATAAAAATTATTTCTTTTAATTTTTAATAATATTTTATATTTGATTTGATTACTTTGGATGTGTTTAATTTAAATTACTTAGTAATTACTTAGTGAACTGATATTTTTAGTATGCTTTTACTACCTCAGATATTTGAAAACATATAGGTTAACCTAGAAAGAGTAACAGTCACGGAGGATAGGTTTTAGACATTTCAAACATTGCAAAAAATAATTAATTGTGGTTAAAAATCTGGAACCTGAGGTGTAATATCTGCCTAATTATGAAAGTTCAAAACACAATAAAAGTGTAGGTTAAACTCATTTAGTTTTATTAAATATCACGGGGTAACACCATCGAGGGACATTTCGTGAGATTCACCCTCATAGGATGTGGCTAGAACACAACAATTTATTTAAAAACCCAACATAAAAAAATGGTAACAAATTACTCCATTACCCAATGCTTTTAACCGAATCAAAAATCTCCGGGAAACTTATTAAAAACCCTCTATTATTACCATTTGTAATTCTGAAAATGCCGCTACTTTTTAAGCCTAGAGGCAGGCGGCACAATTATCCTCTAATTATTATTCCCGTGCCTTGAAAATAAAGTGAAAAACGCATTACTCGAAATCAGAATTTAACGAGCCAACAACAAGGAGAAAAATCGACAACATTTTGCATTTTCCGTTGAGAAGGGGGAAACAAAAAGCGCAGTTGTTTCGCTAAAACTTCTTGCCGTCTTGATAAGTAATTATTCCAAAATGAGAAGAATAAAGTATCGCCAACTTTATATAGACTAATTTACCCGCAATCATCTTGTTTTGAAAGTTCTTCCAGTTTTAAATGTTTCCAAGTCTACGAGGGATGGAATAAAATATTGACATTAGTATCCACAAACAGTTTTTACGATCCTACTTGGTTCTATGATTTTGTCAAATTTGTTTTTATGCTTATAAAGAATACCTGTTATAACACAGTTTAACACGATTTTCCTCCCATGAAAAATTTTAACAGATTTAAAAAATAAAGGTTAAAAAAACGGTGTCTTACCCCTTATTATACTTTCTTTTTCTTTAAGCCTTAATACTCAATAAATACCAATATGTTAAAAGGATGTCCATACCCTACCTATATTATATATCAATAATTTACGGCAGTAGGTCGGGTACTTGTAACATTAATAAATACATACACACTTCATTTACTTTTTATTTTCAAGCGTAATGGTTGTTATACCTACATTTTTATTAATATTACGGCAAATTTGTACACGTATGGTAAATCCCCGACATACAGCCGCCTGACGCCTCTCTACCAATGGGATAACCCTTTTTTTATAACAGAAAAATGGATTACTGATGAATTCTCAAGATAATTAATTGCTTACAAGTTGACAGCCAGTAAAACATTGCATTGATCTAAAACTTTTACGTTTTAAGGAACCATTTTGCTTTTGCTTTTTAAAAGCACCGATTTTGATAATTGTCATAGATTTTTGTTCCAAATAAATGTTTCTCTTTATTTATAAAAGGTATACCTTTTCGTTTTATTCACTACCACCAATAGGTTTTACTCAAATAATAGTGTTAATTTACACTAAAAGTTTGCAGTAAAAGAGTAAAAGTACCTTTCTAAAATTAGAACTTTTCCAAAGTAGTGTTAATTTACACTGAACAAAAGTGGGATTTTATCCAGGAAGTGTAGAAGTACACGATTTTAGGTAAATTAACACTTTTTAATTCAGTGTAAAATTACTTTATCCTCAGTGCTATAGTGTTAAATCATACTTGCTTACTTGGGGAAAATTACACTAGAAATTAACTCTAATTGTGTTATAAAACAACACTATTTAGTGTGGACCTGTGTGAACTCTAATTAGTGTTGCTTAGAGTTGATTTTTTTACTGTGTAGGCATGTAATTTAATAATTTAGTTTCATTTTCCTGTTTACCACCCTCGCATCGCAAAAATTATTAAATATTTTAAATAAATTGGAGAAAAAAATCAAATTTTGTCGTACTGTTTAATAAGACAGGTTTCATCTTCCCAAACAAAGACATTTTCTGAGATCATTCAGTAGTGGTGCAGTATAATTTATCCTGTACATTTCCTCCCGACGGGGCGGCTATGCTTTGTACGCGAATTTTCGAACCGCCAACCCTATCTCGAAGGGGTTGGCTGCACTTAGACATGGAGAGCGGGGACGGGGCACTGCCATGGCAAATACGGATGATTTAATTGCATCTGAGGCAAGCAATC